CCCGTTGAGCTGGGTTGGATACTTGGAGCAAGCTGTGCGAAGCTCCCGGGATGGGATCACCACGGGATGGCGTATCGTGGCTTGCAAAGCACGGAGCAGTGCTTGGTGAGCACTGGGAATCCTGCACCTTCTCCAGCTTTCCCCTCACTCACAGTGTAACCTCTTCCTTTCCCTGTAAATGCCATCTTCCCAGGGTGAGGTTTGCATTTCACTCTACCAGTAACCTGAAAACCGGGACAGAAGAGGCAGATGCTCCTTGGGTATAAGGAACAACCCAGCCCTGTGCTAAAGGAGGCTTAGATCAGATTTGCTGACAACCCAAAATGAACAGACAGGCCCTGTGTCAGCAAGAGAGCTTTTCTTGGAGCACTTTGCACAGTGCCTGTTTCCCCAGCCCTGTGGAGCCCTTTAGAAGCGTGCTGGGCACTTCCCAGTTGGTTTCAGTGAACTGCAGGGTATAAGCTGGGGGCTTTCCCATCAGACCACAGGCAGGAAGCACCTTGCTGTTATTTCTCCCTGTGGGCACACACAGAACCTGGTGAGTGTGCAGCAGTTTTGGGTTTATAACCTGCAGTGCACAGAGGACATCTGCCCGCACGGAGCGAGCATCCCTCCAGGCAGCAGTGCTCCCATGGCGTGTCCAGGTGAGTGCTGGCTGGGACATGGCTTGGTGTCTGCTGCTGACATAAACTGTGTTACCTGCTGAAAGAGGGTTCATTTAGCTCTACCCTCTATAGATCTATTGAGATCTTTAAGCTGAAGAGAGGACGTTGAGATGAGCTCTTAGGGAGAAGTTCTTCCCTGTGAGGGCACCCAGAGGGGCTGTGGCTGCCCCATCCCTGGCAGTGCTCAAGGCCAGGTTGGACACAGGGGCTTGGAGCAAGCTGCTCCAGTGGAAGGGGTCCCTGCCCGTGGCAGGGGTTGGAGCTCGATGAGATTTAAGGTCCCTTCCAACCCAAACTCTATGATTCTCTGTAAAGACAAGCAAGCATCACCCTTGGTCTGTGTGCTGGATCTGACCGCTGCCCTTCTAGCACTGTGATCTAACCCAGCTTAGCAAGGAGGTGGGGGAAGATGAGTGAGCCTGCTCTGCTTTGGGATCTCTCCATAGCAATCCCTGTGCCGGGCTGAGTGCCATCAGCACCGCTGTTGCTGGGGCTTCTGGTTGGGCTGGCCCTGTTCCGCCTGCGCCGCACGCAGCCCTTCCTTGCGCTGGGAGCGGTTTCTCTGCTCTCTCATGGTTTGCCTTCTCCTTCGCACGTCTGCAGCAGGAAGCGGCGGTCCAGCAGGCACCGTGTGCCTCAGCAGCCTGCCAGCTGCCTGCCTGCCTGCCTGCAGCTCATTCACCAGTCAAGTCACTGCCGATAAGCTGGCAAACACCGCGCAGTGATTGCGGCAGCTGAGCCGAGCTCCCCCGCTCCCAGCCCTCTCTGCTGAATGGAGATGGGCATCTGCTTTGTGACGCTTGGGGTTAAACCTGGCCTGACTGTTTGGTGCTGCTGTGACATGTCGTGGGGTTCTGATCTGCGTAGGGATAACCTGGAGTCTCATCAGTGTGGCTAAAACCGGGTTTGGAGGCACAAAGAGGTCCTCCGGTGACTGCTGGTTTAATAGGAGCTAGGAATCTAACATGGGGCTTCTGACTGGTGGTTTAGTTGTTTGAGCACTGGAGAATTCTGTTCCCCCCTTTATAACCCTCTGGAATAGCCCCAGTGACAAGAGCAACGCGTTCTCTTGGGTTAACTTCATGTGGCAGCCACCAAAAGGGCGCCCTGAGGAGCTGCCCAGAGGAAGCGGCTGTACTCTGCTCCTCAGCCAGGCAGGAAGCAGCGGGTCAGGGTTAGAAGGAACTTCCTTCAAAGCTAATGGGTGAGTGGTGCAGCAGGCACTGAGAGAAAGCGGGGTTCAACAGGCAGAGGGAGGCTTGGGGTTCTCCATCTCAGCCCTTGCTCCTCTTGCTCTCTGTTGGCTCCCATCTGTTTAACCAGGGATGCAGAGGAGATGCTCAGGGGCTGGAGCACCTCCCATATGAAGACAGGCTGAGAAAGTTGGGGCTGTTCAGCCTGGAGAAGAGGAGGCTGCGGGGAGACCTCATAGCAGCCTTCCAGTATCTGAAGGCGACCTTCAGGGATGCTGGGGAGGGACTCTTCATTAGGGACTGTAGTGACAGGATAAGGGGTAACGGGTTAAAACTGAAACAGGGGAAGTTTAGATTGGATATAAGGGAGAAGTTCTTTACTGTTAGGGTGGTGAGGCACTGGAATGGGTTGCCCAGGGAGGTTGTGAATGCTCCATCCCTGGCAGTGTTCAAGGCCAGGATGGACAGAGCCTTGGGTGCCATGGTTTAGTGTGAGGTGTCCCTGCCCATGGTGGGGGGGTTGGAACTGGATGACCTTAAGGTCCTTTCCAACCCTATCCTATGATTCTATGAAATACAGGTCTGTAGGTGAGAGGTGCCCTTGTGAGCTGTGCACAGCTCTGCCTGGGGCTGGTACAACACACACACAATTCCATCTTCATGTGCCTTTATGAAATGAAGTCCTTGACTCCGTGATCCCTTTGTATCTCAGCTTGGCAGAGAGTGCCAATAGGGCCAATATCCCTCCAGCCTTAGAGCTGCGGGATGGGTTTCATACAGTCACCAAATGTTTGGGTTGGAAGGGTCCTCAAAGATCACCTCGTTCCAACCCTGCCACGGGCCCCCTTCTGTGCAAACATTGGTACAAGGCAGGGGCAGAAGGAGGAATCTATCGTGCTCCTGCTACAAGACAGCAGGGTTTTCTTTATAGGTGAGCCTGGGGATGCTCACCTTGATGCGCTCCCAAAGGGCATGAGGCCGCAGCATGAGCAGACTGAGGTTTTGAAGTGCATCTGTCCCTGTGCCATACATGGGGCTTTGGGGGTTTGTTTTTACTTCTCCTTTAGCACTGGAATTGAAAACTCAAGTTGGAGCAATGTGAAAGCAATCGGGCCTAATCCATTCCTGTTGTTACTCCTTTTGTTTTCACTGGAGCTGCTCCAAGGCTGGATTCAGCAGACGATGAACAACTTGTTCTCCAGAGTTGGAACTAAGGGGAGAGGGTTTTAGGGATGCTCACGCAACTCTGAGTCTACTTCTTGAGCAGCTGAAGCTCCCACAAGAGGGACAACGTATGGTGAGCCCAGGTTATGGAATTTAGTACAACATTCTAGCAATAAGCCCTCTGGTCATAATAAGACATTATTATTCATTAGAACAATTACTTGAATGAAACCCAACTGCTGGCTCACTCAGATTGGATGGAAAAATCCCAGCTGTTGATCCCAATTTCTGGTTAGCTGAACAGATATTAACCAGGAGCAAACAACAAATGGGTTTGAGCCTGGTAATCCTCTTCCCACTTCCCTTTCCCCTCTCTTTTCTGGAACCAGCTCCACCAGGGTTGCCACTCATGGAATGTTGCCTGCTCTTCATGCCTTGAGCATCTCAGCTGCAGCTCAGGGAACTCTGTGAAGAGGTTACAAGCCCTAGGTCTGTTTTGGTTAGATGGGAAAAGGAGAGCGCTATAAGCTATGGAGAAGGTGCACATTAGCAACTGAGGGCGAGGTGATGTGGTTTAGGGGGGGTTTAATTGAAGGAGAGGGGATATTTCTGCTAAGAACTAAGATGAAGCTTCATAGATCTGCAAGAAGGAGCTAGCAAGCTGGTAGTGTCATGGTCAGCGAGATGCTGCTTTGCTCTTACTTTGTTCCCTGTATGGGTTTTTGCTTCACATTTGGCTCTAGGAAGTGGGGCATCTCATCTTTCCCTTTGAAACCCTCTGTTCCTTCTAGCTATTGAGCCACCTGGGAATTAGGGATCCTAAGAGGTCACAAACTAGAAGACTTCAGCAAAAAAGCCATCAAAAACTGTATTGTCTTCATTCCTGGGGGAGGCAGATTGTAAGTGATGCTCTTAGAGCCTGTGGTTAGGTGTTCAGCCCTGTTCTTCTGCAAGCTGTTGCTCACTATTATTTGCTTTGCCCTATGAAGTATTTGCCTAAGGACTTTCTTCTATTCCCAGGTTAGCAGTAATGCCCATGCAGAAAGACTGACTGCTGCTTAAAGACCCGAGTGCAATCTGCTTGGAGGACACAGATAAGCCTCCTGGCATGGAAAGCTGATGGGGGTGTTTTGGGTGACTTATTCCTCGAGTGACACCATCCCATGCTGTACATGTTTAACCCGGGCATGAGCATTCCCAAAGCAGGGAAGTCTGGGGTCTGGGTTCAGCTGAATAGGGGTGGTTGTGCCTGTCCTTGAACAAAGCCATGGCTCAGCCTTGACCATTGGGGCACCGGATTTCTGCACTGATGCTATCCTTGAGCCCCAGGAATGCTCCTGGCCCAGAGGGGCTGGGGCTGTTTGTGTGCAAGAGGCTGCTGGAAAAGGCAGTGCCAGGAGATGCATCTCTGAGCCCGGCCCTGGCAAATGCTGAGGTTTCTCCTTTTCTTTTTCCTTTTTTTTTCTCCTTTTTCCTTTGTTTTCCCCCTTTTTCCCTTGTTTTCCCCTTTTTCCCTCATTTTCCCCCTGTTTTCCTTGTTTCCCCCTTTCTTCCTTGTTTTTCCCTTTTCCCTTGTTTTCCCCCTTTTTCCCCTTGTTTCCCCCTCTTTTCCTTGTTTTTTTCCTCTTGTTTCCTTGGTTTTCCTCCTTTTTCCTTTGTTTTTCCCCCTTTCCCTTCTTTTTCCCCCCTTTTCCCTTGTTTTTCATCTTTTTTCCTTGTTTTTCCCTCCTTTCCTTGTTTTTCCTCTTGTTTTTCCCCTTTCCCCCCTTATTTTTCCCCCTTTTCCTTGTTTTTCCCTCTTTTTTCCTTGTTTTTCCCCTTTTCCCCTTGTTTTTCCCCTTTCCCCTTGTTTTTCCCCTTTTCCCCTTGTTTTTCCCCTTTTCCCCTTGTTTTTCCCCTTTTTCCATTGTTTTTCCCCTTTTCCCCTTGTTTTTCCCCTTTTTCCATTGTTTTTCCCCTTTTCCCCTTGTTTTTCCCCTTTTTCCCTTGTTTTTCCCTCTTTTCCCCTTGTTTTTCCCCTTTATTCCTTTCCCTTGACCTTTGCTGAGATGCACAGTCACCCTTCAGGACCTTCCAGGGCCGCTTCTCTAATCTCCCCAGCAGGATTAATGCTGCTGGAAAGCACGAGGGCTTGGAGCAGCTATCAACTTTATCAGGAAAGCTTCTTTCCGGCCAAGCTTTGCTAAGCGGGAATCTTGGGCTGGAGCTGCTCGTCTCATGTTTCACAGATGGCCTCAATGAATGATTTACTAGGAGAGGAAAAGATTAACCAGATTCCCCCAGCAGCATCTCGGGTCGCGTAAAGCACTGGGTTTTACTGGGGCCTAGGCAAGCCCTCACTCTTTACCCTCGTTAGGCTCTTTTACAGTGACTAATTGCCCTGCGCTCCCTTCCCTGGGAATGGGGAATCTCCTGGTGAGGAACCCACGCTCCTCGCACGAGCAGCTTTGGAACAGCCACAGCAGCGAAGGCTTCTCCATGCAGGCAGGTACCCAAAGAGCCCCAAACGCTGTGCCTCTGGCTGTGTCTTACTGGGGAGGTTCCAGTGCTCTGGGGAGGGAGATGGCAAAGGGGATGCTTACACGATGCAATGAGGTGTTCCCATGAAGTTATCAGGAGCTTTGCAGAATCCTCCTGTGGAGAAGAGCCATTGCTGGAGGGGTCACACAAACGGTGCTTTGGGTAGGGCAAACCCTCCTGCTTAATGCTTTAGGGCTCAGCGAGCTCTTCGGGGCAGGGAGATTACCCCATGTTTGCTTGTTACAGAGTCAGGCACAGAGCTCTGTGTCTTCACTCTATGGCAATTCCTACGGTTTGGCTGGTTTAAAGGGCTGCAGCACTGATTTAGACATCCTAATGGGAAAAGGGGGGTTGAATGGACTTATCTTTCCCTTTGGAGTGAGGCTTATTAAAGATCCGGTGGTCCCACGAGATCAGCAGATCTTTGCATGTAATCATTGGCATGACTTGCATCATGCTTCCCCCTCCTGTTCATGAAACAGAGCCCCATAATAATCACAAGACCACTGAAGGGCTGGCAGCGATGGGTTGCCCATCGTTATCGATAGATGTAGTACATGTGCCATGAAGTGTAAGGCAATGTCCGCGTGTGCTGATCTCATGTAACCGGTCTTTGGTTTACAGCTGTCAGAGAGGAGAGCTCTGAGGCTCTCTGGAGGCATCAACCCCTGTTTAAGTCTGTGGGGTTTAGCCAAGAGGCTGAGGAAAGAGGGCTCTGTGCCTTCCTTTGCCGTGATCTCCTCACACAGGCTAAAAGCTGCCTAGGGAACAGGGGCGAGAAGAAACAGCCCTGACAGTCTTGTCTTAAGGCACCAGAAGAAGGCAGAGATGCTCAGTCTGCCCTGAAGCACAGGGGTAATAAAACTGGCTTCTGTTCTGATTTCTGCATGGCTATTTATACATATGAATTGGTGCTGAACCTACTCCTTGGCAGTCCCTTTTGGACGAGTCTATGGCATAATGAAGGCAGAAGCCCCCTTGATACGAGCTCCCCCACCACAGTTCTTCAGGCTTCAAGTTTTGCCACAGGGCTATAGCATTGGGAGTTATACAAAGCACAGGAGTGCAGAATCCTGTCCTCAGTGAAAGGAGCAATGAAACAAGCGTGCATTTCCAACACAGAGCATAACCAACCATCCTCTGTGGTTGTGCATTGGCGTCTGCTCTATGTACCATCTTTCAAGTGCATCAGTTAGCAGACCAGCTGCTGCAGCGTTTATTTGGAGGTGGCTATGTCCTCACAATGCGAGTGACTTGTAGACACACGACATTGTGACTAAACATGGCTTTCAAAGCAAATGTGAGCCTTTGATGCTTAAAAAGGAGCGAAAGGCAGTATTTGCCAAGCCTGTGTTTATGAGGGCAGCACCAAATCTCAGCGGATTACTCACCATGGCAATTTTTGAGGCTGTTGAGTCACTCACACAGGTTTTATACATAGACACACAGAGCAGGGCATCCCTGGGGTTGTTGTGAGCTCCCATCGGTGACCATCCATGGTCTTGGAGCCCTGCAAGACCTTAGCAAAGCCTGCGCCTGCCCTCCTTGCTGCCAAGCAGATGGGGCTGTAAGTAAGGGTTTGAAAAGGCACAGTCAAAAGATGCTGCAGTTGACAGGGTCCAGAGTCGTGAGGCCTGAAAGTGAATTTCCCTGATTTTTCAATATCACCCTCATTATTTTTAGCTGTACAATCTTCTTGCCAAGCACATTGAACGGATGCCTGGGATCCTGACTCTGAAAAGGCATCAGGCCGCGATTCCAGCCTTTTGCTGAGCATCCCACCACGTTTGGAAGCCTGTGCTGGCAAGGGTGGGAGAGCTGTGCAAGGCACTGCTATAAAACACTCCTCTTGCACTGTTGTCTTGTTTTTCATGCTGTCCTTCCTGGAAACTGTTATTGCCAATGCAGCAGCGGCTCTGCTCCTACAGAAAGGGCTGTTCCCTGTGTGCCTGCCCTCATCCATGCGCAGGGATCAAAGATGCCCCTTTCCAACACCCAAACAGGAATCGGGAAAAGGAATGAGCTAAAAGAGGACTTCAATGGATCATGAGTGTAAGAGATTACTTGAAATGCTCATTTCCCACTGATACTCCTTGCACTTTGTCAGGATCCCATCGGAGTGTGTCCCAGAGCGTGGCAGCCCCGGCTCACCCCCAGCATGGGGATGATTGCTCAGTGGTAAGGGTAAGTAAGAAAGGAAACAGCTGTGATCCCTTTCTGAAGCATTTGCTCTTATTCATCCCCTTAGATGTATCCCAATGTAAATAACCTTTCATATCCCTTTACAAAGCGATTGCTGAGTGCGCTGGAGGAGAAGGTATTCTGTAATGTAATAATTCCTGTCCTTTCTCTTTATTTTCCTGCTTGGTCATCGAAAGGAAATCTGGCTGGTTGTTAATTTGAAAGCATTTGGAGTGCTGATGGCATAATAGATATGAAAGTTCACAGGACTCTGGCAACTCCTAACGTATGAGGCCTTCGGATGAAGAAATGAAAGCTGCCTGTGAAGGATTCCCATTTGTCATGAAAACCCCGCAGTACCACGGGACAGCTGTTTGCCTGGGATCTGTACCTCAGATGTAAGGAACCAGAACAGACATGTGCTCTGTTGTACAAAGCCCATAACCCCGGAGACAGGTAAATCATCCTTTATAAGGAAAAAGCATCATACAGAATTAACTTTTTCTATAAAAGATGTTTTTCAGGTTCTGTTCGCTATTCCACATAATCAAAACCATGGCTTGAAATGCGCAAGTTGTGGTCTTTTATATTCTTGTTCCCTACTAACTACTTCTGGAGGTGGATTTGGCATTGCTGCAAGCATGGCTGGAGAGCTGGCGGGGTCTGTGCTGGCAAAGAGCTCTCCTGGTGTTAGACAAGAGCACTTTTGCAGGTGGCAAAGGTTTCCTGGGAGATACCGGGTGCAGTCTTTACCCTGCTCAAGCCACCCTGTGCTTCGCCTTGTTCCCCCTATCACAAGTCAAGAAACCTGGAGAGGGGCTTGGGACAAGGGATGTAGGGACAGGGCAAGGGGAATGGCTTGAACCTGCCCGAGGGGAGACTGAGCTGAGCTCTTAGGCAGAAGCTCTTCCCTGTGAGGGTGCTGAGGCGCTGGCACAGGGTGCCCAGAGAAGCTGTGGCTGCCCCATCCCTGGCAGTGCTCAAGGCCAGGTTGGACACAGGGGCTTGGAGCAAGCTGCTCCAGTGGCAAGGGTTGGAGCTGGAGGAGCTTTGAGGCCCCTTCTCAAACCATTCCATGATTCTGTGTAGCTTCACCAAGCTGTGATGCAAAGAGAACACAAATTCCATGCGAAGGACAAACCTCCTGGAAAATCTTCCCTGGTTTTCCTGGATCGCATCTTCACCGTGCCTTAGACACAGCATTGGGCTTAATGTGACCTGGCTGCCCGGGAAGCCATCAAACAGAGGTCTTTAACAAAGCAGAGGTGCTGCCATGAAGTTCAGGGTGCAGAAATAACCCCCCTGAGCTCCCCACGAGCCTCCCATGGGTATATTTATAGTGATGACTCTTCAGCTCTTTCTGTGTCAGGAAGCTGTGTCAGATCTGTGCCATGCTGTGCTGATGCATCACCCAGGCAAAGCATGGCTGCATGGAAGACTTTACCTAATATGAATTTCCTTAACTTTGGAAGGTCAAAGATTTCCTCCCATCCTTCCTTCTCCCCTATCCCTTTTAGTTATTGCTTAAAATGCATACGATGACAAACCTTGTCAATAAGGGATGTCAACTATATCCCAATAAAAAGGCAAGATCAACCCCATTCTGTGCATGCAGGCATAGGAGATACTGAAGGAAGCTTTCAGAACTTTGTTTCTTTGCCATAGCTCTATCTCCAGACACCAATTCAGCTGTACTAGTAATGCATTGAAGTGGGTTCCTCTGTTAAGCAATATATTCCCTATGGAGCAGTTCTGGAGCAGCCCCAGGCTGAGGCCTCTGGGTCAGGATCACTCCATCTCCCACCAGCGCATCCCCTTGAGCTGCTGCTCCAGGTAAGGGGGGGTTCCAGGTTTCAAAGTGCGTTGGTGATGCAGAGGCTGAGGTGATGGGCACAGCATCGTGTGTGGAGGAGGCTCAGCACCATCCCTGGTCCCACCGCAGCTGAACACAAAGGCAGGTCCGCTGCAAGGAGCTGTGCTGTGCTGCTGCATGCTCCCCGTAAGCTGCAGAAGCTGATGCTCCCATGCATTCAAACACAGACACCTGATTTTCTGTAAGCTCTTCCTTTTCCTCCATCATCAGACATGAAATCATGGATGTGCACCCACGGCTGCACAGGGCAGGCTGATACCAGGGCTGAGGGAGGATGAGCTTGACTTTGCTGCTGCTAAAACCAGAGGTTATTTTTCAATGTAAAACTTATTGTCTCGGGCAGCCTTCATCTCACCAGCGCACAGTTTCAGAATGCTTTAAATTAAGTCTGGAGGCTAAAAGTGTGTTAGTCATTGCCCATACATCTTAGGGGAAGCAGGGCTCTCTAAAGTTATTGTTAGCATTAGGCATCTGGTTCGTGTTTATGATGATTTATTCAATGGTGGGAGACAGGTAAGGAGCCATCATGGAAGACAAACTAGGAAAGATTGGGTTTTTCAAAGCTCCGAAGCCATTGCTAAATCAAAGTTGTCTGACTTCAAAAGGAGCCCATAACTTGATTAGGTTCTTTAAACAATGTCCGCTGCTCACAAAGTTGGCAGGTATCATTAGAGGCCAGGTTGGTAGCACAGCCTGCTCTGGAGCTTGCAAGATCCTGATGTCCTGACTCTGCCTTTTCCTTTCCTTCTTTCTTTAGGGACCATTTCAACCCAGCACTTCAGTGGCACAGAAGGACACAGCATTTTGTCAGGGCTAGAATAGTGCAGGAAATCCTTTCCTTGGGAAGACCCAGTGCTCCCATACTTTGAAAGAGGGACTTGACATCCAACGGGGAAGATGGGCTTTGTGCAGGCGGGCGCGTTGCCGTTGCCATAAGGATCCGACCACGGTAGTTTCAGTTCTGTGAGCCTCTGGAGAAGCCTGGTTTCTGGATGTGCAGGAGGGCTTCGCAAGAGCTTTGCTGAGATGGGAGAAGAGTCTCTGCTTGTGTCTCCTGGCACTGACGGGGCTGAAGTGAAGCAGGAGCTGGTGGGACAGGGCAGGGTGGGAATGGGAGTCTGAGCATAGACTCACACAAACAGCTGGGTTGGAAAAGCCCTTTCAGCTCCTCCAGTCCAACCCTGCCAAGGCCACCCCTAACCCATGGCACTGAGGGCTTTGTCTACATGGTTTGGGAGCACTCACAGGGCCGGTGCCTGCAGCCCTGCCCTGGGCAGCCTGTTCCAATGCCTGAGCACCCTCTGGGGCAGGAATTGTTCCTCAGCTCCATCTAAACCTGCCCTGGTGCAGCTTGAGGCCGGTTCCTCTTGTCCCATCCCTTGTTCCTTGGGAGCAGAGCCCAGCCCCTCCTGGCTCCATCCTCCTCTCAGGCAGTTGGAGGCAGCCATCAGGTCCCCCCTGAGCCTTCTCTTCTCCATCTGAACCCCCCAGGTCCCTCAGCCCTTCCCCATCACACTTGGGCTCTAAGGCCACAGCAATGAAATGACTTGGATGTGGGGGCAAACCACTGCTCATGGGGAGCTTCCCAGGGCTCTGCTATAAGCTCAGCACTGTCCCACCAGGTTCAGCCAGCACTGGCTAGTGTCACTGCTGAGGCAGCCGCAGCGATGTGCCCTCCCCATGGGGACAGCTTCTTGCTGACCAGCATCCTCCAGACCTGCAGCTGCCCCACAATGGACATCAGTGCCCCACGTTTTACACTGGTCCCATTCAGCTGGGGCAAGCCCTGCATGCACCAACCAGCCTGTTGCTCTTTGCCTTGGCCAAAGCACCTTGTACCAGATATCCTGGGGTTGGGGAAGAGCACAGCGCATCCTGCCCAGCTCGCGGTGATGCGCACACCATGTCACACGGATGGCACAAAGACCACAGGGACGGCACGAGGACCAAACCAGTGCTTGGCCTGGGAAGTTTGTGGAGCTGCTGGGAGGGAGCCAGCATCCCGCTTCTGCTCAGGGTGGAAAACCATCCCGGTGCTGGATGCATCCAACCCAGCTATAGAGCGGGGCTGCTTGGCCAGATGACAGGCCTGGCTCTGCCTCCCAAGTGGACGGGTGCCAAGGGGGATTTTTAATTTCCAGATGCTTTTAAAGTAAAAATAAAGGCTCTGCTGTAAACTGGCTCTGAGCAGCAGCCTCCCCTGCAGCCAAAGAGCTGACTGATACAGGCTGGAGGAGTGGGCAGGAAAACCTTTTACTGCAGTCTGGTGCACCGGGAGTGCTGGGGTGGGCAGCCTGTGGTCCCTGCCCAGCCTGCTCACCCCGATGCTCTCCAATGGCACACAGTCTCCGGATAAAAACCTTGATGCACTTTTGGATTTCAGGTGTTGTTCTTTTGCAGGGGGATGTTCCCAGGGAGAAGGCCGCTGGCAAGGGCAAAATGGGGAGTATTGGAGGGAATATTGTCCTGGACGTGCTGCCGAGAGCCAGGCGAGGCTGGTGACAGGGATGCTGCAGGACCCCTCCCTCTGCGCCTTGCTCCAGACCCAGCCACAGACACATTTCTTAAGCCAGCCTTGAGTGACTCCTGCAAGCAGCTCCAACCTGGCCACTGCCCATCAGCATAATGGGACTGGTGAGTCCATGTCCAGTGTCCATAGGGTGCAGCTCCCGGAACACCCAGCTCTGCTCCGGGACCCTGGAGCTGGGAAAGTCCTCTATGGCCCCCTATAACCACGTTTTGCTGGCGCATGAGGCATTCAGGCATCCCAAGCCTGCACAGGGTGTTTCACATCATCGCAGACCCCCAAAGCAGCTGGAGGTGAGCACAGCCCAAGACCTACACTAATGGCTATAGGAACATATGGAAGAAGGCTCCTGTGTCCCTGCTGATGCTGCTCAGGAAGGGCCATGGTGGGTTGGAGGATGCCCGAGGCTGAGTTTGCAGACAGACAACCTGCCCGCTGGCTTCCTGCTGCCGGTCATCACCTCCCACAGTGAAGGCAATGGCTTTATCAGCACAGGTCTTGATGAATTCCTTTCCGCTGCAGGCATGACCGCCTTCCCTGCCCCGCTGGGTTTCACTGTGCTGGGGTTCACCCCATTCCTGGCACACGGACGGGCAGCGGAGCCAGAGATGCTGCTGTTCAGGGAGCGCAGGGTGCCTTGGGGACAACACGGGGCTGGAGGCTGCAAGCAAGCCCAGGAGCTGCTCCCAGGCAGGTGATGCTGGAAGAAGAGCCAGTTTGGGCTGTTCCCACAGCCTGTGGCTGGCTGCAGCAGGCAGGGGGTGAGGATGGGCTTGTCATGGGTCACAACAAGGCTGTTTTGGTAGGGATGGCCATAAGAAAACAGAGCAAGCCTGGATCTGCTCTGCTGGGACCAGCAGAAATGCCTGTGATGGGGACCTTAGAGCAGCTCCAGTGCCTAAAGGGGCTACAGGAAACCTGGAGAGGGGCTTGGGACAAGGGATGTAGGGACAGGCCAAGGGGAATTTCAGAGTGTGATGGGTCAAACCAGGCACTCCTGGAGAGGTGGTCTTGGATAGAAACAGCACTCCTCTGAATGCAGCAGCATCACTGCGGCTTTGCAGCTGCTCTGGGCTCATACTTGAGACACTCCAGCACCAAAGCTCTGCCTGTTCTCCTCACAGGCCAATGGACACCACCCTGCACCCAGGTTTCTGCTCATGCATAGACCAG